CCACATCTGATTTACACCACTTCTTGAATATATAGTTGTACAGTACTCTTGAAGTTTTTCCTTCACTACTGTCAATATTTGAGTGAGAAGTAACGAAAGAGGCTTGGTTGAACATTTATTGGAACCTGAAATGCATCTTTGTTTGTAAGGATTCTTATGAAGTTTCGGAATCAAATATATATAAGGTAGTTCAAATTCATTTTGGCTCTGTGGAATATTAAAAGTATTCAAAACTGACAGGTGATTTTGAAGAATTTCTTCCTTAGAAAGAGAAGTATATGTATAAGTAGGATTACCACTTGTAGAATTAAATCCAAGTTCTTCTAGAATGCAATTTATATAATGAGCCTTACAGACGAAGACAATGTTGTTACCTGCTTTGTCGGCAGGAACCAGTACGTACTGATCGTGTAATCTATCTAATTCTTTTTTCACTTCTGGTTTATTGAACACAGAAGGATAGATGGTTTTCATTTTGCCCCTCAATCTTTTAATACGCGACTTTAACATGGATCTGATACATTTAATCCATTCTGACAAGGTGTCAGCGTCTTCTTTTTCATATCTAGCCCATCGTCTGACGTAATTTTCAACAGAATCCATAATATTTATGACATTCCGACGCCAGTTGAAGGATCGGGGTTCCCTATATTTAGGACCTTTTAAAATAAGTGATCTAAGGTCCTCATTACGAACTATTATTACGTCACCTGTAATAACGTGTCCAGCAGGACTATAGTTATAGGGCGAAGAAGAACATGAACACGAAAGGGGATTATTTTTCAGATAGTCGATATAATGTCTAAAATTTCAAAAAGCTACTTCCGGTTTTGAGTTATTTCCCTTTAAAGGAAAATTTATAGGCTTTCGTTTCCAGACAAAGGCTCAGAGACGGCTAAAGCTGGAGCAGAAATTCTACTGATTTTAGATAATAAAAGGATTGAAGTTGTGCACATCGGTTTTTGTTTTTCGATTTCTGTATTCAAAATGGCGCTATATAGGGGTCAAAAATTAGAACGCTTAAAAGAACCAAAAATTACTCATATTTTTCTTTATATCTTCTAAACTAAAAATATTTTGTTACAATATATAAAACATAATTTGTGCAGAATTAGAAGATCTTTCAAATGATATGTCGAAAAAAGGGCTGACCTACATTAAGGGACCTAGAGGGGCCAAAAGTTTTTTCCAGATATCTCAAAGAGTATCGAGAATTTGTTATGCATCAAAGAAGCAAAGTTGTTTAAAATATCATGCTTTATCTAATGGAGTCATCAAAATACGTCCGGTGACGTCACTTCCGGTCGAACCGGAAGTAGTCAGAAAATGCATATTTTTGCCGTTTTTGACAGGTTTTGGGGTAACATGTCTCAGTAGAAGCTTGAATATTAATTTTTTATCCGTCGTCGTCACTTCCGGTCAAACCGGAAGTACCAAGGAATGGCTTAATTTTGCTATTCTTAACATAGATTTGGAGGATTAACCCATTTTTGGACTTCATTACTCTGTTTTTTTAAATGAAAGTTACTTCCAGTCAAACAGGACGGAAGACCTACTCGTTGCTTTGCAACGAGCTCAGCTCTAGTTATGTTAATTATTATTGTGGGTTCTGCTTTTCATTTTAGCCATTATTATTCCTGATCACATGTGTCTACTACTTGCACTATATTCTTATCCATCCGCTATATCGTCTGCATACTCAGCAAGTTTATTTATGTGAGATTTACAGGTTTTTGATATAAATTGTTTACTTACTTATTATAGACACATCTCTTGTTATCCATATTTATTGGTTATTTTGTCTTTTCACATTTTAATTCCGTTTTGCAGTAATTATCCTCATTGTACAGTAGCCTTGTTTGGCACTGGTTGGCAGATCTCTGTTTGTACGGTACCGCACAGTGCCGTAATTGGTGGAACGTTGCCGTACAGCATTTTTATTGGTTGAATCTAGTCATGTTACCCTTTACGAAGGTTATATATATGGGCCGATCGCATTACGTAAACAGAAAATTTGCCGAGTTGTCAAGTGCGTACATTTCAAAGAGATAAGTCTAAGATCCGCCGATATTTTCATCGTAGCCTTATATAACATTACCATTGTGATTTCAGGTGGGAAAATGATCGACAATTATCTCCCAACACTGGATACCTATTTAATTGTAATTAAATGTGGGGATCATCCTAGTATATACATTGTACACCCTCCCCCCTTTTTATAATAGTGGCCTGTACGGTAGACGCCACCAGAGTTTATTATTGTACCTGTTGGAATGAGAACTGATTTATGATTAATAAATATTTTTGAGACCAAGACAAATCTTATGTTTTCCCTATAAGCAGAGGAACAAGGATTTTAGTACAGGAGTACTACCAGTATTTATTTTGTAGCGTCCCTGACTTAAGCTTGGCCATTCCAGGGAGCTTACAGTACGATATCTTTTAAATAAGTCAAGAAATCCCATGACAGGACCGTTTTAAAATGTAAAGTACATATTAAATAAGTAATATAAAAAATCACTGACAGGAAGTTTTTTAGCGAAAGGTCCTGCTCCTCCTTAAGAATAAGTATAGTAAACATTTTAAAGACAATTAAAATTAAAACCCTGATTACCTGTTTAAGGTACCTGAATTTTATCACGATAAGAAAAAAAAACACTTAATGATATTATTCAAAATATTGTTAAGGAAAAATATCTTTTTATGAACTTGTAATCCAGTGAGATAAAATAGCTGAGTTTACTTAAATATAATTAAAAGATGGCGGAAAGGTCACTAAAGACCGTAGAAAGGTCACTGAAAGTTGACAGAAAGTTCACTGAAAATTGACGGAAAAGTGTCCGCTGAATGATGACTGAAAAATACCTGAAATGTGACTGAATGGCACCTGAAAGGTCACTGAAATGTGTGTGCCATTCAGTGACTGAAAGGCCACTGAAAAATCACTGAAAGGCGCCTTTCAGTTTTCACTAAAAGATCTTGTTTCTTCCTGTGATTGATGTTAATTTTAAAAAAATCTTAATTGCTACTTTTCTTAGATATTAATTTAAACTGTGTAACTCCTTGCTTAAATTTGGAAATGACGTACCAACTCAGTCAGCGCTATGACATTTTACAGCGTGAATTATATATTTCAATGAACATTTTTCATTTATAATTTCATTTTAGAATGTAATTTGTTTTAAAGGTAGATTCAAAATTGTGCACAAATTTGCAACATTTATGAAGATGGTTCTAAGAAATGGAACAAGTTAGAATTTTTTATCAATACTTATACGTATTAGTGACAGACGAATATATTTTGCAAATTTTGTTTTTGAATCAGTAATCAGACTTTTTAATGCAAAAAAAAGACCTACAGGAAAAACTATACTCAGTAAAGAGTTGGGGGCAAGGATATCGATCTTCCTCCCTGTTTTCTACTCGTTTCAATTACTTAAAATCTTAATAAACATTACGGAAATTGTCTCATTTCTAGTATGTTTCCTGATGCATATACACTTTAGAATTTTTTCGCATATTTTTTTTTATTATTTATAATTATACATTTACATGTATGTACTTGAAAAAGTATTTTATTTTCATATATATATATCTCTTCTTCTTTAATAATTATAATAAATACATACTAAGCAGTCTATACGGTTTGTTTTTATTTTATTTGGTTTCCTTCTATGACTAATTAACAATATTTTCAGATAAAAAAAAAACCTAATACACACAAAAAAAAAAAAAAATTAAAAAAATCCTATAAAGAACAGAAATGGAGAAGAAAAAAAAACATCGGTAAGCCGATACAAGTCTTTGATTGGTAGGAATATCTGATTGACACTATTGGTTTTTTATGTAAAAAGAAAAAAAAAATCTTTTAAAATTGTAATAAAATCACAACATTCGCAACAATAGTATTCAGTTCGAAATACTAGTATTAAAGAAAACAAGCAAATTCAAACAATTGTGGCCCCCACTTTCGGTGTCTTAGTAAATGGGTTGTCATTACATATAATTGTGGCATTTTCTTATTATGTACGCCGTGCACGATTAATAACCAGTGATAACTTTTTGAAAATTACGTCAAACATGAAGGTCAAGGTCAAAGGGACAATATAAAAGCATGATCTTATATCTTATTACAGAGAATTACATGTCAAATATGAAAACCTTTTTTCTCTTTCAAACATTAAAAGGAAAGATAACATTTTTGACAAGAAGGTCAAACTCCAAGATCAAGATCACATTGTAAAAAAACATAGTGACTTTTGAACGATCTTGTCAGGGGTAATACACGTGAGAAATATGAAAGCCCCGCCTTTTCTCATTCAAGAGTTATGACCAAAATTAAAGATTTAAGAAGTGCATGTATATTAAACTTCAAGGTGAAGGTCAAGGGGGCAAAAACCATGGTGTATATAGAAAGTTTTTTTCAGAAGTAGTACACATGTATAGTAGGGAAGTCATATTTTTTTTTCAAAATTCAAGTAATTTTAAATTTTTTGAAATATCAAGGTCACGTGCTCAAAAATCGTAGTGTATATAATAAAGTACTGCCACAGGTACATGTAATACACAAGCGTAAAATGAAATTCTTATATTTTCTTATTCAAAAGTTTTGACCAACGTTCAAGATTTTGTGACAGACGGACAGCTACACAGACCAACAGACGGACAGACTGACAAATAAATGATATCTAATATCCCCATTGTTTTCGCGAAATCAGGAAAAAAAGAATAACGAACCTTCTCTGATCTTGTCTTTAAAATAATACTGTTAACTTTCTATGCTCTTATTAATACAAATTCTTAGTGGTGCCGTTTTCTCCAGTCCGTGCAAAATTAGTATATTTTCAAAAATTAAATATGATGAGAATCCATCATTTAATGCAAATCATTACAAGAAATACGATGAACTAAAAACAAAAGAAAGTTTTGATTTTACTATTCTGAATTTGATTTTTAAAAAGTAAAAAAAAAACTGTATTGAATATTTTTTTTCAGTTCAGAAGGAGGGAAATCATGACATTTAAGAAAAAGAGGAAACATAATCATGGAAAGTAGAATATATGATTAAAAATGGCATCAACAGCCTTAACAGGAACTCAACAAAACTTTGTCCGTCTGGCGATAGCCGTGGTAGACAAAATAAAATTACCAATGAAAGATCTTCTTGAAATTTACATTAAGCCTTGTGACCTATACAATAAGATTCGCCTTTGCCCCGCATTATTACTCGGAAAACACAAACTAAGTGAGGAACAGAAAGATTTATGTTATGTATCGCCTCCTTATATCCCTGATTATGCTAAATTCGATGTAAGTTTGTTATATAAACTTATACAAAACCTGTGTAAAAAAGTGGTAACAACAAAAGGATGGGGAAAAGAACCGGAAAGTGGTGATAATCTCATCGGCGATGACATCGAACGCCTCAGGCGAATCCGAAACGAAATTTATGGTCATCTGAAATCTTCTAGCATCCCTGATGTCATGTTTGAATCGCAATGGAAGGAGTTAGAAGATATTATGAAAAGGATGTGTACATTTCTGAACAGTAATGGCTCTAATCCAGTAAATTACGAGAGAGAACTTGCAGATGTCAAAAGGTGTGATTGTGGTTCTAATCACATGGATCAATACAAACTCATGCTGAGGCTTCTCGAACCAAATAAAGGTCGGTTTGTTTATTTGATATTATTAGATGAATGCTTATGATCAAATTTGTTCGTTAAAAACAAAAAAAAAAAGATCCCTTAAACCTTTATACAAGTTTTTATACTCTTCCTATACCAGAGGTAACCTGCCCACCCCACCCCCAACCCCACCCCTCCAATGATTCTCATAGAAGACGTTAGGCATATAGGAGTGAAGTTGTTGGTGCGAGATTAATTTGATCAAGCAGTAGATTCTAGTCACTTTTCTTAATTTATTTTATAAAACTTACAATGGAAACATGAGTAGCCCTGTACTAGTGCCTTAATCAGAATGGTTTCAAAAAGGATTCCTCTCTCTTACATAATATATAGCAACACAACCCCCCACTTAAATTTTTTCATAATAATTAATCATAAGCAGTAGATGGGAACATAATCTTATTTAGAGGACACAGAAAATATTCCAAGATTTTATATTTTTTACCTACGGAATTTTTTTTTTCAGCATGTCAACATTAACATTATACAGTGTCATCCGTTTATGTGTTTTCGTTTTGTGTATAAATAAATCAACATAGTTTAATCAACGGGGTTATCCAAACGTTGTTAAACGAGAATTATTATTAATATTTACAACTATATTTCTCTATGATTCTTTGCAAAATAGAAAAAGTTCCTGATCTCATGAACTACCATGGACTGGGTAAGAATATTTCTATGTTGATGTCAAAAAGTAGTACATCTGTTTTTCAAGAATGATTTTGGAATGAAACATATATAAGGCAAGTCATCAGAAAAAAATAGTTTTGAGAACTCATGAGGTACATGAACTTTAACCCATTGATCGAGGAGCGATATTGTGCTTCATGAAATATGCAGGTGAGAAACGCCCTAGTTCATGTCCCCACGTTTTTCTCAAAAATTAAGTTCATCTCTTTATTGTGTGCTTTGAAATTTGCATAATTAAACTCAAACCTCGAAAAAATGCGTGTATACACAAATTCCTGGTATTTAGGAAAATTATTCATTTTCGTTTTGATTAAAGCTAGTTATGAAATTGTGTTTTTTAGGCTTTCATCAAATTTATAAGATTCATAAAGTTCTTAGTACAGAGTGAATCAATAAAGGATATGGAGAAAACGAATTCAATACTTTTAATTCCAGTTAAAGGGTTTTAAGAAAGATTTTTAAAAACGTTCCCCTCCCGGTGTTTACTGTAAAAGAAGTTTCAAATAATTTTCTCACATAACTTCTCTGTATATGTCATTGGATCTTTATTCTAATTGTTGTTTTAATTTTTCTGTACACAGGGTTCTCTTTCTACGCGCATATGTTTCTTTTGTATATAGTTTATGTTTTGTTTACGGAATTTTTCAAATGAAATACAATTCTAAAAAAATTATCAAATACATTGTAATGTGATCTTATTAAATGTCTAGAGTTGCCAACTATTTCTGTCAGAGGGGAAACGACAATTATGTGTGGGAAAACAGTACGTTTTGAAGTTGATATAAAACATTCATCTACATCAACCCAGAATTGGCCTATCACCTGGCACAGACTTAAAGGGAACATTTCAGAGCAGATTGATACCAGTGCAGAGAAATACAGAAATAGCACCTGTTGTCAGCTTATGATAAATGGGGCTTCAAAAGAAGATCAGGGTGACTACCAGGCAATTATATCAGGAACTCCAAATGAACGGCACATAAAAATACACAGTAATGTGTTGTCCTTAAAAGTCTTTGGAGGTATTTTTTTTTATCATCACTATCAAGAAGTACAGAGAAAATTTTATACCGATTAGGAAACAATTTTTATTATTTGAAAAATATATCAAATGAATTTATTTTTTCATTATGCATTAATTAAAATGTGCGACTTGTTATCTTCTTCACGAGAACAAAAATCTCAAAATAATTACTTCAGTAAGTCTAAACCTTTTTTAAATGATGCCTTTTATTAAAGGTTTTTAAAACAATATTTTTATTTTTGTTATATTGAGTGTTTCACAAATACATTTCGAATTTAGGATTATTTGAATTTCTTTTGCAGTTATATTGAGTTTAAATTGTTCAAAATACCTTGCCGAGTAAATAATTACAATAATTCGAGAACACATTGTAAAAAAAATCATAATATTTAGAATAAGCAACTTTTTTACTATCCTCAGAATGGCAAAATATCTTCGATCACAATTGAACTTCTTAAGGATTCTTTACATTACTATTTCATGTTTAAAACATCAATAAACAGATTCTGTCGTTTCATCAATTTTCGTTGTCATCATTTTTCGTGGATTTTGTAAAATAGACGTTTTCGAGGATACGTTATTTCGTGGACAAAAGCATTGCCAATACAAATGAATGTCATATTTCGTATTTCGATGAACATTTGAATTCATGGATTTCCTCAACAACGAAATCCACGAAATTTGGTGTTCAACGAATATTGGTAAAACCACAGTATATCAAGAGTATTAATTTTTGATGAATCATGTTAATTCCTTTACAAATTTAGAGGAACCAGATCTTCAGGAACTAGAAGTGACCTCAGACGAATGGGACGAAATTATACTCCGTTACAGGTATGAAGTCTCACAGGGTTCTCCAAAAGCCAATCTTATACAATGGACTAGAAATGATCAGGTTTTAAAAGTAGATCAAGAAAAGTACGTTGGTGGGGATTTAACAGACAACTTTTTAACCATAACATCCCCGTCAATTCATGACAGTGGAGAGTACACATGTACCGTATTCAATGCTGCTGGCTCCGCCTCCAGATCATTTACCTTAGGTTAGTTATACATTTGTTTCTTTTAAAGACACATGGTTTTATTTTTTATACCTCAAGCCTTGAATATTTTAGAGATTGAAGTAACAACTTTTTTTTAAATGTGACTGTTCAAAGGCCTTAAAATATACAAAATTAAATTTATAGGTGTACCGAAGGTCAAAATTCAAGCGGAATCAGTTTGTTACGGAAACAATGCCCTTATAACCTCTGTCGTATCATCTTGTCCACCAGCGGCAAAAGCAGTGTGGGAAAAGAGTAGTCTCAGTGATGAAAATAAATTTGAAACCATCACCGACAGTGACCCAAAATATTTTTACAATTCGTCAGATCCACGTGGTCCTATACTTAATGTAACAGCAGCAACATTCGATGACAAATTGTATTACCGACTTCGGATAACCAATTGCATAGGAGAGAGTGTCAGTGATAGAGCTCTTCTCAATGTAACAGGAGGTACGTAGAGACATATTTAACTTACAATTAAAGTATTTGGTGATAATTTGTTTAAGGTTACGATAACCAAAGAACGAAAGTCATAATAGCTCAAATTGCTAATGCTATGGCGATCTGTGTTTTTACAAAATCCTTTTAGAAAATTGACCATATCTCAAGAACCTCTCGGCCGATTTTTGTAAAATTTATCAGAGAATATCTGACGAAAGGGCTCGCATTTGAACTATAACTAGCAATGTGACTCCCAAACAAGAGGAAATGATTATAAAATAAAAACAAAAGTACTCATTGCTAAAAATCTTCTTTTCAAGAGCCACTTGGCAGTTATCACTAAACTTACATACAAAGATGGGGATATGTTGTAAATTAAAAATTGTTTATGGTGTCACCCTGAGGCAAAAGTCGTGGTCTCAAGGAACTTCAAAGTTCACCAAAGTATGTTTGGTAAAACTTTATTTTTTTCTTACTATAAGGAAGTATGATAAGCACGTATCAACAAATCTTGTCAGTAACTGTATCTTCATACGTCAAAATATGTTTATTTAAAATTAGATCACCAGTCATCTTGATCCTTAAAACATTGACTTACTTTTTGAATATTGCAGGCATTAGGAAATATCCATTCTTTGTTACGATTTCCTTATTTCACAAAGAAAAAAGTACATTGTAGGATATATTTTGTGTTTATGGATACAGAATTGTTTAAAAAAAACTGATTTTGGGTAGCTATTTGCTAAATTTAGGCATGTTGACAAAAATGTTATATAAAAAGACGATCGAAACAAAATTATAATTATGCAATTGAAGTTGACATAAAAAAAGATGCTTGAGTTTCTGATTGACAATATCTTAATGGTATTTGGAGACCAGGCACTCCAACAATCTATTGGAATTCCCTTGGGTACCGATTGCACTCCGTTATTAGCAGACCTGCTTTTTTATTCATATGATACAGAATTTGTGCAAAATCTAATGCGTGAAAAGAACGGAGCACTTGCTCTTGCCTTCCACCCGACATTTCGATATATCGACGACGTATTGTCAACTAACAATGGTCAATTCCATTCCTATGTCGATACGATATATCCTGGTGAGCTTGAGATAAAAGATACCAGAGAGTCTGACAAATCTGTTTCATATTTGGATATTTGAATCACACAGCGGGTGTAACCGGTCAGCAGGGGATGCTCATTCCTCCATGGAACCTGATCCCACCTCTGATGTTTCGGAGGTCCGTGTTTGCTCTGCTCCAATTTTATATTGTTTTATGGACTTTGATATCATAAGTTTGTTAAAATACCCCCCTCGCCGGAACCCACTTTTATGGTAGATGTAAACTTTTCAATAATGAACTAATTTTTGCCTTTACCTAGCCAGTTGCTCAGATGAGCGAAGTGGTCCCTGGGCCTCTAATTATATATTAAGCCGTTATTGGGAAACATTTAAAGATGATGTAACAACATGACCTATGTGAAAATAAACGTTGTGGACAACTGATTTTTTTTTTCTTTTTGCTTTGTTGTTTTTTTTTCTCTTTTCAGATCGTCCAAACATATTTAGCAACCATGAAACAAAGGCAAACAGCTGTTCTGTGATATTGACGTGTGACGTTTTCCTTTATGGCAAGTCTCCTCCAATTACCAAAATTGCATGGCAGAAAGATGGTAAAGTCATAAATGCGACCACAGGAAAGTATACTGGAGGAACAGAACTTAACCCAGCATTAGTCATTCACAATGTTAATAAATTCGACGCTGGTTCATATCAGTGCAAAGTCACCAATGAGGTGGGATCAACGCTTGGAAATGTTATTTGTCTAGGTAAAAAATTTTGTATAAAATTTTTACGAGATTTTTCAACATAAGTGTCGGAAGCAAATTGATATCGGGGGGGGGGGGGGATGAATAAAAGTGTGTGTGTGTGTGGTGGGGGGGGGTTAAATGAAAGTATGTGTGTGTGGGAGGGGGGGTAAACATGATGTAACTTGTTACTACTTTTATGTCCTTCTTTTCTTTTTTAGGATAGATACTACATTTGATTAAAAATAACGATCACCTCCAATATATATTGATGAATGTATCCCTTCCTAATACTAATCACATACAATACTAATCCTTATATCCCCAAAAGTGAATTTCATTGCATTTTCCAACATAAAGAAACTCAATTCAATTATTGACCAATCCTTTTCATCATTTCGAATGAATTTGTTTTTCACAAAAACACAAGCTTTACTACATGTTTCATATCATATCTTATACTATTGAAGATGCATCTTATTTCTTAATTTTGTGCAAAGATGATAGAATTAAAATAAAATTTAAAAACTCACTTTTCTATTTTCGAGTAGTCCCCTGTTTAAAGAAACTTGTTTGGGGTATGCCAGTTTTTTCATGTTTTCAATGTTTCATAATCCAATTTAATTGTTTATCTTTATCAAAATAGATGTTCCTAAAATTGAAATAAAAGAGCAAAGAAACGAGGCGAATGATAGATTGGAATTCACTGCGGTGCTAAACTCAATTCCGGAACCAATACATGCCCAGTGGTCCATTAAAAGCGAGAACAACCATGGTTTTACACCTATAGATGTCAACAGAGAAGAGTACAAAGGAACATCAAACAATATCCCCAAACCTGTGTTGTGTATTAAGCACGTACCACTGCAAAATCGAATCTTTCAAATTGAGGTTCAGAACTTTATTGGAACAACTAAAATGCAGATACCAGGTCTGTAAGAAATATTTTTTTCAGATTGGTGATGTTATACTTTAAGTTATGTCTAATCATACTATGTTTTACTAATTAAGTTAAATATAACACGGCTGTATCTTATTATTGCTTGTTTTGTTTCTTTAGAATTTTAACTTCTAATGCTGTTTTATATTTTCAACGAAACGTTCCTTGTTTGCTTGCAAGATAGTTTACAAGAAAATTGAAATTTACGTTTTTTCATAATTTTTTCATAATTTTTCAATATCTCTAATATTAACATTGTCTAAAGTAATACAAAAAATTGTACAGAAATCTGCACTCTGAATTTCAATAGGCTTTAAAAAATTTCAATAATAAATGTGACAAACTTAATTTTAAAAATATGCACATAAAACATTAATTTGTAATATCTGCACAGAAAAATTTAATATGTATGAATGTAAGTAGGTCCTTAAGTAAATAAATAGTAAGATGATAATTGCACTGTAAATTTATTGTAGACAATTTATGTTTGTTGTCTGACGTTGATTCCATCTAATTTTTGAAATTTAATAATTGAAATTTTGTAGGTGAAAGAAAGCCATGTTCACAAGAAAAGATGTCTTATCCAAAAGGTATGGTGAAGCAACACATTGAAAAAAACCACAATTGTTTACCTCTAAAACAAAGGTTAATAATGTCGATACAAAAATCAAACATTTATTATTGAAAACAAATATATATTTAGGGATATTTCAGATGCGTCCTTTAGACATCAAAGTATTTCTTCACAAAAGTTTACTTGAACATAACATTTGATAGGCAGAATTATTTGGGGAAAATCTTCGCATAGAAGACGAGTGACATATTTCATATTGTTGAAGTACAATTAAGAGAAAATACAAGTTTTCTTAACATTACCTTGACAATTGGGATGGAGTTCCGACAGAGAATACATAAACTTTGAGTGATTTTCATGAACACCACTTTCATTCTATTTTATTTGGAATCCAATGTACTGAAAATATTTTTCTCAATTTTACCAACTGGAAATTTCTGTTTAGTTTTACACAACAAATCCACAAATTCCCCTTTTGCGACATGAAGGAAATCGCTAACATACACCTACCAGATTTGTCCTGTTTATACTTTTTCTGACGCAGTTCAATGCTTTTCACTCAATACTGGGGTTTGATTCTACGCTCTGATACATGTACTATATTTAATCTCTATGCTTAATAATAATAATAACAATACTTTAGTTAGAGAAGATGGCATGATTAGTGTGACACACTATTCTTCCTCAGGGCCTTTTAATTATAACAACAGTATAACATCAATTTAGTAAAGATGAACAACTTAGAAAGTGAATTATAATGCACGTATATACACAATGTTACATGATAATAATGATAATCATAATAAAATAGTAATACTAAACAGATACATTTATATGACATAAAAAGCAATATAATGTCAAATGAGTAAGAATTTACAATGTATAATTATAAACATGTGCAAAAGATATACATAATTCAGAGTAATAAAGTTCTGCTGTTGAAGATATACTTTTCTACATTTCGTTTAAAGATTGGCAGAGTTGGCGCATATCTTATATCTGTAGGTAAATTGTACCAAATATTAACACCGAAATATTGAAGTGAATTTTTAAATAAATTTATTCGGTGTTTTGGTAGGCGAAGGTCAAACTCAGATTTTGAACGAAAAGTATAAGCATTAGTAGTTTGAGAAATAAATAAATCTTGCAAGTAAGCCGGGCTCTGATGGATAAATATCTTGTACAACAAAACACATTAATGCGAAGTTACCAAGTCAAAAACAGATAGCCACCCTAATTTTTCAAATAATGCCTTAGAGGGAGCATCAGGGGCAGCATCAAGTATAATTCTAGCTATGTAACTATATGGTGCACTACCCATGATAGTCAGACAATAATAAATAGAAGGCATGATAAAGGCATTGTAAGAAAGTTTTTTGGTTTTCAAAGGAAGAAATTTCTTGATTTTCTGCAAAGTAAACAATTTATATATTGAAGATTTGCAGACCGAGTCTACATCAGTGTTTGATCTATATGTACCCCAAGTATTTTTTTCTGTTTCAACATTGTTAAGGTGTTTGTCAGAGAATGTAAACTGAGATTTTGATTATATAGTTATCAGCAAACATATCGATGTTTGCATGACTTACATGTAAGGGAAGGTCATTAATATACAACAAAAACAAAAGGGGGCCTAATATTGATCCCTGTGGCACTCCTGCTATGACAGGTAAGACATCAGAAGAAGTTGTACCAATTTTTACACATTGTGTCCTGTTATGCAGATATGATTGGAACCATTTAATTGACAATTCATCAAAGTTGTAATTCTTTAATTATTCTATCAGAATTGTATTACTCACTAAATCAAACGCTTCGCTAAAATCCAAAAATGCTATACCTATTAGATTACCCTCGTCCTTAGCATGCAACCAAGCATCTGTTAATTTGGTTAATGCTGTTTGACAAGAGTGAAATTCTCTGAATCCAGATTGAGATTTTGTTATAAGATCAAAAGTGGAAATAAAATCTCGTATTTGGTTTGCTATGTGCTTTTCAACTATTTTGAATAATGTTTGAAGTATAGAAATGGGACGGTAGTTATTGATATCTATTTTGCTGCCCTTTTATATACAGGGGTGATTTAAGCTTGTTTCAGCTTTGATGGAAAACTGCCATTGCTGATACTAGCGTTTATTAAATGAGTTATTGATTTACCAAAAATACTTGCTGATAGTTTTAGGAGACGAGGCCAAATGAAGTCAATGCCTGCAGAGTTATTGACATCTAGCCCGTTCATTGAATCAACTACTTCAGTTTCACTTATTGGTATAAGGCTAAAAAGTTGTCATCACCAAGTTTAAATTTTGTGAATTGTCTTAACAATTCTGGATCGAATTTGCAGTCTGGTAGATTATGTAAAATTTTAATTGAAATTCTTGTAAAGTGTTCATTAAAAATATTAGCAATATCCTGTGAATTTTTAGTTTCTGAGTCATTATGAATGATATGGGAAGGGGTTAAGTTTTTAGATTTAGATGCCAATTGATTAAGATATCCAAACATCTCTCTTGGATTTGAACTGTCTTCGATGGCTGATTTTTGATACAAAGTTTTTGCATTGTCTATCAATAGTACAACTTTATTTCTCCATGTTCTGAAATTATCATAATCCCCATAACGGTGGTATAAATCTTATAAATGCCTAGCTTCGTTTATTTCTTTAGTTAGTCACTCTGGTCTTGACTCACTTTTAACTCTCTTACATTTTATTTTGGCATCTTTGTCAAGGACATTATTACACAATATATAGAAAGTATAAAGAATGTCAACAGGATCGTGTAAGTCTGCAAGACTATCAAAATTTTGATTTGTCAGGTCAGACAGAAAATTCATTGAAGTTCTTGAAATCACTGTATTTAATTTCTATGTGCTTGTTCCTACGTTACATGCAATTAGATTTCCGGGTTACACAAATTAGGTAATGGTCAGATAAGGATATTGGGGATACACTAGCTTCACATATGTTATCTGATATGGTGGTATAAAAGTGTTCAATAAGAGTACAGGAGGTGTTAGTAACTCTAGTGGGTGCATTAATTACTTGTGTTTGTCCAAATTCCTCTAAAGCAGATGTCCAGCATAGCGGGGGTCTTTGAGGAAGTCAATATTAAAGTCACCTGTAATAATAATTTTACTGTTGTCACAGCAAAATCCTCTACCCAGCAAGAGTGGGCAGATGGTGGGCGGTATACAGAGAAATAAAAATAGGTTTAGAATTTTTAAGATTGATTTCTAGTCATATTGATTCAATATTACTTACTTGAAATTCAGTTTTACGCTTGTAAGTAATATCATTTGAAATATAAACAACAATTCTCCCGCCTAACTTAAATTGTTTATCCTTTCTTTCAAAAGTAAATCCATTAATATCTAAACCTGAATCACAGTGATTATCATTTAAAATGTTTCACAGAGTCCTAAAATTTCAAGTGAATTTTTGTCCTGTAGCAACAGTTTAATTTCGTCAAGTTTAGGTGTTATATGAAACACAATCAAATTTCCTAATTGCAAACCTCTTTTAAGCAGTCCAAATCCATTTTGAGTGCATGACCCATTGGGGACTCTTTGGGTTTCCTTCCGATTTAATTTTTATGAGGACTTATTTGTGCAACAATTTCAGTAAGGTTACTTTTTTGTATTCCATCTTGAAAGTTAATATTAATTGATACACTTTTGTTTTGTGAATTTAAACACTTTTTGAGAATTTTAGACATTTTGAGACAGGGTGTCCAAAAACATATGTTACACTTTTTAACCATTATAAAAATTTAATGCCTTAAGTTATATTAATGAAATTTAGAGTATGTACTAAAATTATGATCAATTTTTTGTCAAGCATACATTTCTTTTACAGTTTCCTTATTAATCATAAATATTTTTCTTTAGAATAACATAGGTCATTTTACAGCATATTCCAAATTATATCCCTTGGAATTAACATTGTTTGAACACAATTTTTTTTACCAAGGATTTGATGTAACATGCTAACAGTTTAAATATTTCTCCACATTAAAATTGAATTCACCAAACACTAGAATTTAAGATTCTCTTTAACAACTTGTTAAAATGGAAGTGGGCTTAGTCGGGAAACGATGCATCTGTTAATATTTCAGAGTCGGGTCTAATTAAAATCCAATGGGTAAATTCTGTAATTTTTGTCTCTTTCAAATGCTGCATTAAAATTATCTTCTGTGAAATCAGTTTTAAATTTAATTCGAGTTTTGTATGAACGCTGGATTTACCAAAGGTGCTATCTTGGTCATGCAGGGCCCATCTAAGGGATTTTTTGAAATAAACTTTCAGTAGAGTAATAACTCTATTAATGGTATTAATGTTCTCTTTGGTATGGGCACTCCTTGGTCTTCTACTAACATTATACCAGAATTAAGTCATGTGTCATTTATGGTGCCTTTAATTTCAAACTTCCTCATCACAAATCTGTAAAATAGCATTCTGTTGAGCACTTTTATTACGGGATGTTGCTTTTCTGATGCTTCTAATGACTAAAGTAGCAGATTTACACCCATATTAAAGTTTGACACTTTCTATCAGCTGTTCTCCTGATGGTTCCATATTTAAAATATGATGACGTCATTTTGACATCAAAACTACTTGGATGTTTAACAGAATTTCATGAAAGTTTGTCAGATAAAATGTATGCTGCTACACTAGATGTTGAAGAAATATCTTTGTGTATGCTTGTGGTTTAATAAAGTTATGGATGATTAAAAGTGTAACATATGGTTTGGGACACCCTGTATACAAGTAGTGTTCACATGTGCAATCAACATTGTAACATACATCACATTAATTATTTAAAACTGAGTAAATATTGCTATTTACAGGGGACAAAAAGTTATTTGAGACAATAAGTTCGGCATCTCCGCAATTTTGTTCTACGGCATTTCTTTCATTGCCGATTCACCGGTCACGGTAGCCTAGTGGAAGAGCGTTCGCTTCCTGATCGGGAGGCCCGGGTTCGATTCTCGATCGCGGCGCCGCGTCATACCTAAG